AGAGGAATTCAAGACAAGAAGCATTAAATGAGTCAGAATGGTACTTTCTGTAAAGAACTCCACAGTGAGGGCCTGCCACAAGTCTCCGATAATCCTTCTGCAGTGCTGTTTGGCACCGGCAATCAGAAAGTCTTAAATGTAACTCGCCATATCAGAGAAGATATGATTATCTCCTGAGATGCTTTCATTTGACCAATTTCAACACCGTTTTATGTTTTAAAAATGTGAAAATACTGATATGTGAATTCTCCACATGATTAATATACAACAAAGCAAAATCTAGTATTGCTCTTCCTGATAAAAACATCACAATTATTAATGCAACATGCAGACGTCCAATTTATCCTTTATTATTTAACATTGATCTGAAGTCAGTGTGATGGCACATAATGTTATTGCGAGTCAATGCACTTTGGAAGGCAAGAAGTCAGGGATAAATATGGGAATGAAAGAGGCAAAAATAATATTATTTGGGAATATGATTATATGACTGCAAAACAAGAAATTTCATTATAAATGATCAGAAATAATCTGAATTAAGTTAAGTAGCTAGTTACAAATTTAATACAGCAAAAACTAATAGCTTTCTCATCTATAATCAACAATCAGAAGATATGAGGGAATAAAAGATCCCTTTTATAATAAAATGAAACATGAATGGATATCAGACAGGACTACAAACCACATAATCCACTCTACTTTAAATAAAAACAAGTTTACTACAAGAAATTAGGAAGTTTATGATATTTGGGAGCCAATCGTGGTTGCCATACAATGAGGAGCAACCCTACCTACAGCAATACCCACTCACACTGCAGGAATGTTCTAGAGAAAATCCCAATGGCACTGAGCACCTTGGTCATGAGATCTTCCAAATGGATCTCCTCTTGGTTCTTACTGCTGTCTTCCTAAATTTTAGGAAGCTAGTGCGTCAGCTCCATAGAACTTGCATCATATTCAGGGCCCCACTACAGAATCTAGAAAATGCGGTCTTTAGCCTTTCAGTCTTTACAGGAAGCGTGCTAGAAGGGAGTTCCAGTTAGTGTTGAATGATACAATTTATAGTGTCCATAGTCGGATAGAAAAAAATTAACAAGAAACATGTAGGATGTATAGTGTGTGCAGAACATTGTAAAATTCAGTTGGAGGACATTGAGAACTTGAAAAAAAATGGAAATATGTAGTTAGTTCTTCAATAGGGACAATTAATAATGCAAAGATGTCAATTGACCCTAAATTACAGCCATCCAAAATCCAAATCAAGATTTTTTGAGGTAAAACATTATAAACGTTTTAGTCTGAAAGACAAACCTATAAAACTGTTAAGAAAATTCTGGAAGAGGGGATCCCTGGGTGGCGCAGCGGTTTGGCGCCTGCCTTTGGCCCAGGGTGCGATCCTGGAGACCCGGGATCGAGTCCCACATCAGGCTCCCGGTGCATGGAGCCTGCTTCTCCCTCTGCCTGTGTCTCTGCCTCTCTCTCTCTCTCTCTCTCTCTGTGACTATAATAAATAAATAAATAAATAAATAAATAAATAAATAAATAATTAAAAAAAAAAAAAAAGAAAATTCTGGAAGAGAAGAGGGGCACCTGGATGGTTCAGTCAGTTAAGCATCTGCCTTTTGCTCAGGTCATGATCCAGGGACCTGCTTGCTTCTCTCTCTCCTTCTGCCTGCTGCTCCCCCTGCTTGTGCTCATGCTTTCTCTCTGTCAAATAAATAAAATCTAGAAAGAAGAAAGAAGAAAAGAAAGAAAGAAAAGAAAGAAAGAAAGAAAGAAAGAAAGAAAGAAAGAAAGAAAGAAAGAAGAAAGAAAGGAAGAAAGAAAGAGAGAGAGAGAGAAAGAAAGAGAGAGAGAAAGAAAATTCTGGAAGAGAAGAAAAGTGAGGTGAGAACTAGCCTTAACACATAAAAGTATATTTTTTAAAGCTTTTGTAATGAAAATTTGGCCCTGGTGCAGGAACAGAGCGAGTCCAAAAACAGATCCAAATATATGTCAAAATGTAGTACACAATAAATGTGCTCTTTTAAACACTGATGACATAGATAAATTCATCCATGAGTGGCATTTTTGAAAACTGGTTCAATATATATAAATAGATAAAATGTTATGCTATTTCATTTGCCTTACCCCAATATAATGCAGGTGGGGTAGAAATTTTTATAAACACAAAGGTATAAATATATTTTCTTTATTGAAAGATTCAAACATCTACAGAAAGTAGAAAAGCATTTAAAACAGAACTGACAAACCACAGCCCTGAGTCCAATCCAGCCCCCGGTCTGTTCAGATAAATAAAGTTTTATTGGAACACAGCCACCCTATTTATTTATATATTGTCTGTGGCTGTTTTCCTGCTACAACGTCAGAGTTGAGTAATTGTGACTGAAACCATGACCCACAAAACCTAAAATATTTGCTATGTGGTCATTTACACATTAAGCCTGCCAATCTGATCTAAGTTTTAAAAAATCTAAGAAAAAAGTAAAAATGCTCCAGTACTACACTGTTTCCACCACCACCGAACACTTCTTTCCCAGAGTTAACACAGCTAATAATCCAAGTGGAGCCTTCCAGGCTGTTCATTATACATTCATGTGTACACATACATATAATTTTCATATAAGTGATATCACGTATAATATGTATTGTTCTGTAACTTGCTCTTTTCATACGATACATCTTTAGTTCTTTCAATGCCATAGAGAGGTACCTCATCCTTTTCAGTGACTGCACAATATTATACAGTGAGGATTCAACCAAAATTTGTTTAACATAACTGTCCTTCCATAGGGAATGAGATTTTCCAATGTCTCATAATTATAAGCAATATAACAAAGAATACTAAATGTTCACCTGTGCACAAATATGCACAGGTGAAAAATATTTTAGTAGAATAAATCCTTAGGAATTGAATTACTGAATCAAAGGGCATGCCCTTAAAATTTTAATTTTGATAGCATCAAAATGCCCTTCAGAAAAAGATATCAACACTTAAACTCTTCCCAACTGGGTATAAAATTGATCTGTTTTATTAAGCCTTGTATCCACACACAATATTATCTATTCTTATTAATTTCAGTCACTGTGGTGGGTGAAAAATATATCTCATTATTTCATTTTGCCTTTCTCTGACTGAATGAAGTTGGTCATATTTTAAAGTTTCTTTTGGCCATTTGTGCTCCTACGAATGGCCCATTTTCAGCCTTTGTTCATTTTCTTTTTTAAGATTTTATTCATTTATTCATGATAGACATAGAGAGAGAGAGAGAGAGGCAGAGACACAGGCAGAGGGAAAAGCAGGCTCCAGGCTGGGAGCCCGACACGGGACTGGATCCTGGGACTCCAGGATCATGCCCTGGGCCAAAAGCAGGCACTGAACCGCTGAGCCACCCAGGGATCCCCCCTTTGTTCATTTTCTAAAACAAAGTTTGAAAATGCATATTTTGCTCATTCTACACAGCATTTTGTAGTTCTTGTAATTAGTTGCCAACATTTAGAAATTGGGATATTTAACATATTTTAAATCCATATTTCTAGCTTCTCCTGGATATTTGAAGGCTCTCCAGCATTGGGCCTTCAATGGCAATAAGTGGCTGAAACAGAAGAAAAGTTCTTTTTTCTAGTGCAGCAGGTGCTGTCCTGCACCTCATGTCCCTCTTCTATTGGAATAGGTCACTGATCTCTTCCAATGACCTATCAAGTCCCTATAGGTTTTGCACTTGGGTTTTGCAAACTCTTTTCTGTTTGGTCCTTTATCTTTTTTTTTCCTTAATGATTTATAGGAGCTCTTTACATATGTAGATATATGCATGCGTCTCTATTATGCATTAAAATATTTTCTGATATTAATTCCCTTTCTTAAAGCTTTGTTTATGCTATCTCTTGATAGTCAGAAGTTTTTAAATCTTCATGTAGTGAAATCTATCAATTTATTTCACTTAAGAACCACTGGGTGGTTCCATTTAAGGTCTTCCTTAAATCGGGTTTATAAAAATATAAAAAATACTATTGTTTATGCTTTCCTAAAATGCTTATAGGTACACAATAATATTATACAGTATTACTATTATATGTTTAGTTCTTTCCTATTTCATGTATAAAATATATTTTGTATGTGTTGTGATAGCCACCTGCCCTATTTCATTTTTAGACTGGTTCATCATTTGCTCACTTATTTGAAATGCCACAAATAAGAGTACACCATTCTGTGCATCTTTCAAAACTAAATAGCATATCTAGAGGACTATTTTATGTTGGTCTACATAGATCTACCTGATTTATAATAGCTATATTAATGATTATCCATTTAAATAAGTATTTAGAAAAAATAAAAAAAATAAGTATTTAGATTTTGTCTAGTGTTAGGCCACTACAAAAAGTGGCACAGTAAATATTTGCTCCATATGCACCTGTGTGCCTGATTATCAGTAGAATCAACTCCTTGGAGTTGAATTATCAAGTTTAAATGTATGTGTACTTCAGAAAGATAATGCCTAATTCCTTGGAAGATAGTGAGGCTTATACTCCCACCATCAACATTCAGGACTGCCTTTTTCCAGCCTGTGTATTATCTAATTTACTGATCTTGCAAGACCATCTGATATATCTGGTAGATGAAAAATGGTGTCCATGATTTTAACTTCTATTTCTTTCATTTTCAATGAGATCCATCCTTCTTTTACGTGGCGGAACCACTTGTATATATATATATGTATATATATATATATATATATACATATATATATATATCGTTTATTCAGGTCCTTTGTACATTTTCTAAGATCTTTTTCTTACTAGTCAGCTAATGCTTTACACTGAACTATGAGGTCCTTCTTTTAAGCATTGTAAGTATTTCTTTCTCTAATTTTTCTGTTTAGGCTTTCTGCTGTGTAGAAATGTTTTTAATGCAGTCGTGTGTATTAATGTTTTCTTTTTATGGCTCTCAATTTTAAATATTATTTAGAAGGAACTTCCACTTCTCTCTCTGTCTCTCTCTCTTTAATATGGAATGCTTCACAAATTTGTGTGTTATCCTGGTACAGGGGCCATGCTAATCTTCTCTATATCTTTCCAATTTAATATATGTGCTGCCACAGAAAGCATCCTTCTATCTCTTAATATTTGTTCTAAAAAATCTCCCATACAGGACACCTCAGTGGCTCAGTGGTTGAGCATCTGCTTTTGGCTCAGGGTGTGATCCCGGGGTCCTAGGATCAAGTCCTATATCAGGCTCCCTGCAAGGAGCCTGCTTCTCTCCCTCTGCCTATGTTTCTGCCTCTCTCTGTGTGTCTCTCATGAATAACTAAATAAATCTTTAAAAAATAAAAAATCTCCCATGCTAACAGTCATTTTTTACATTTAACTTTCTAAGTCATTTGTAATGGCTTTGGTGGCAAGTTATAACTTTTTTTCAGTTGTCCCAACCATTTAGTAAATAATCTATCTCTTACCAACTGCTTTGAAATTGTCATATATTAATTTCCTTAAACATTTGGGGCTACTTCAGGACATTTTATATCATTCCAGTAATTGATCTATTGGTTTGCCAAAGTCAAACCTTTTTAGTGAATGTGGCTTCAAGATACAGTGCCATGAATGAGAGTCTTAGTCTTGGTTCTAAAAGAGACACAAAGTTCTGATTTCATCCCTGACCTCTTAAAGACAAGAAAGAGATGGCTGCCATGGTAAACTCTTGAACTTCCTCTCGTCTACAGCCCAGTGACTAGCTCCATGCTGGCCATCAGTGGCACTTGGAGGACACAAGATGAAAAGATAAAGGTGTTGCTAGAAATAGAGGGCCTTGAGGAGATCTCAGGCCATCCCCAGATCCTTTCTTTCCCAGTACAGAAGACTCTGTAAAGACTTCTGATACATATATTCATATGCTGTAGGCAAAAGTGTATTGGGACATTCTAAATTCAGGATCACTATTTGATATCTCTTGTTTTGGATCTGGCAACAGGAATACCCTAACCTGTTTATTTCATCTCCAAAGCCTGTGCATAGTATCCTAAGCAGCAGAGTCACCACATCACCAGGCTTATGTCATCTGTATGAATACAAGAAAAAAGGTAAATATTTTGTTCCCCCTTCTCAAAATAAGAGCAGAGTAACAATCCACTCCACCCCCCCCCCCAGATAATTGGCTTTAAAACACCTCAAAGAGAAAGCAAGATTAAACATTTAGCTGCTACCCTGTGGGGAACTCTGGAAAAAAGTCACACATTGTGCAAGATTTAATTTTCTCCCATTTCTCCCTTAAGGTCTGACTTCTATCTCACTCCCAACAAGGTGATAGAAGATAGAAGAATAGCCTCCCCACAGTTGTGGGGCGGGAGCGCTGAGAAAAACTGAAACAAAAGCACCCAAGTTGAGCTCTTTCAAGAAAATCAGCAAATGACAAATAACATGAAAGATAACAGCCAGCAACTGACCTCCGGCATCCTGAAAAAGATCACACAGATGTCTGGCAGCTTCTCTGCCTCAGAACAGAACTCAGACACTTCACAGAGCTGAGAAACCCAGTGTAACCAGTGCTGAGCTTTTCCAGAGGTCTGTTGGGAGTTTGCTTTTCCCTCCCTCCTTTTTGGAGGAGGTTTTACTAAATTCAAAGTGTAAAGATTTTTTAAATTTATTAAATAGAGAGATTTTAAGAATTTTAAAAATTTATTTGAAAGAGAGAGAGGAAGTACAAGAAGGAGAGGGGCAGAGGGAGAGGGAGAAGCAGACTCCTTGATGATCAGGGAGCTGGAGTGGGTCTTGATTCTCATGACCTGAGCCAAAGGCAGATGCTTAACCATCCAGGCCCCCCAAGGTGTAAAGCATTTTAGAACTGGTTCTGTCAACTAGAGGGATTTAAGTCAAACTCAAAGTCTATAGAGTAAATCATGTTTCTCATGTTAAAAACAAGACAACTGGTACCAAATGGAGTCACTTGTGCTAAGCCCCTGTCATCAAACTGAGACTTAATTACAGTTTCAGCTTTCCCAGAAGTGGAATCTTAAACTCATCAACCAAGAATAGAATCACCTGACCAGCACTAACTAGGTCATCTGTCTGATAGACTCCTGCTATCTCCTAAAGGAAAGTAACCGTGCTTTAACCAACCTGTATCTTTCCCCAGTGTGACTTCCTCATTCCTGCTCCCTTCTGTCTGTAAAAGTCTTCCATTTTGTACAGTTCCCCAGAGTTCCTTTTTATTTGCTGGATGGGATGCTACCCAGTTCATGAATCATTGGATAAAGCCAATATGATCTTTAAAAATTACTCAGTTGAATTTTGTTTTTTAATGTTTGATATAAATATACATCTAGATAGATAGATGATAAATGGATGGGGTGGTGATAGGTAGATAGATACAGATAAATAGATAAAGAAATAAGGGATATACATCTAATTTTTTAGATGCATCATTGACTGGGGAGAAATATGGAAGAGTCATAGGAAAATAATTAGAAAAAAAGGAAGAAGGAAAGAAGAAAGGGTGCAGAGGAAGTTCTATGAACTGTTGAACTGCTCTATGTGTTAGTAAAAAATTAACAAATTGGATTTTAATCGTCAGAGGTTAATTTTACTCAACAACATAGCTTTCCTTAGTACTGTTAAGTATTTTAATCCTACAAAATGTATAAATTTTAAAGATGAATAGAATAAAGGTTTATCAGTGAGCTTAAGACTCAAAATGGTGCAAATACAGTGGAAGCTCCCTTCTCATCCCTCCCCAACTGCACTCTCTCTCCCCCATCCCCTCCCCATGCTCCCACTCCCAGCTCTCTGGAAGTTGGCAGTTATCACACATATTTACCCCATAAGTACAGTTCTGTGTGTCCATATAAATGTATAGTATTCTTTTGTATGCTTTTAAGCTTTTGACATAAATGATATACTTCATGTATTCTTTTGTAACTTTCTCTTTTTAGTTCAACATGAAATTGATCATTATTTTCTCTGTCTAGCTCTGGCTCATTATCCTGGCTGATTTGTAGGATTACATTATGTGACTGAACCACATTTAGGTTGTTTCCACATTTCAAGCTTTTATAAACAATGTTGAAATAGTCTTCAATACAGTACTTTGAACATGAGTGTGAACATTTTTCTAGGGTACAAGTATAGGATTGGAATTTCTGGGTCAAATAACATAATTTTTTGATCCTCTCCTTACTATTTTCTTGATTTACCTATATCGACCAAAAAATGATTGCTAGGGAATGCATATAAAAAATGTTTAACCCAATGGCTTATGGAATTCATTGTAGGGACTGTCCATCCTCATTTTCATGTGAAGAATTGTGAAATTAGAAACTTTGAATTATAAAGTATATTGGAACATGACTGAAATACACTGCATTTTTTTTTTTGTAATACAAAGCAAAACATGAAATCCTGCTATTCTTTCCGATTGTCTGACATGTCTTACCTAGTCATTTCTCCAGGCCATGCTGTCATTCAACTATGAAGATAGTATTCAGTCATTTTTAAATGTGTCATGGAGCATAGCACCCGTGAGCCATCCCTGAAGAAACACCTCAGGTACTAAAGCCAGTAACTGAGAGAAGAATAGAAATAGAATGGACAGAAGAAGGACATGTGGTGAGCGCTGAACCCACTTAGAAAGATCCAAAATTACAAAGCAGCAGTAATTATGGTTCAAAATGTAATCCTACAAAAATATTGTACAAGTAAGACTAATGCAAAAACCTAAATGTGGAGAACCCCACAAAGGTGGTGGTAAATGGCTTAGCTCCTGTCTTATATTTACAGGATTGAACAGATAACTTCTTAAAGGTCATAAGCAATTTCTTTCCTCATTCTACAAATATTCCTTGAGCATCTACTGTGTGTCAGGCCTGGTGCTAAGCACCAAGAATACAGTGACAGAAAAAAGACATTGTCCCCATTCTCCCACAGCAGAAGTATAGTAGTAGGGGAAACAAGCATTAAATGACTTATACAAAGGGGCCCCTGGGTGGCTCAGTAGGTTAAGCATCTGACTCTTGATTTCCACTCAGGTCATGATCTCAGAGTTATGAGACTGCTTAAGACTCTCTCCTGTCCTCTCCCTCTGCCCCTCCCTCTTTCTAAAAAAAATGACTTCTACAAATAAATAAAAGTAGAGTGATAATCTGATAAACAATATAGAATGAGAGTATGTGCATGAGTACACACTAGGGGGAATGTGTATCTAGTCAAGGAAGCCCAGGAAAGCTTCTCTGTGGTTTCTCTCCTTGAGCAGAGACTTATAAGATGAAGTCACATGAGATAGGGAGACAGGGGAGGAGCAGGCACAGCAGGATAGAACCCAGCATGTTCCAACACCAGATCAAAGACTACACCAAACCAAGAGAAGCGTCAGGGATTGAGGGATTGGCAATAAGCAATACGACAAAAAAGTCATTAAATACACAAGAGTTCAGAAAATTATTTGAAGTCATGTAAGTGTCCACTTTGTATCTGTCATTGTCCAATCATATATACCAAAAATGACATGGTCTATCCACTTTCCTTAACAAATAAGTGACAAGGAAAAAAATTAAAAATATATCAACTAAATGCAACATATGGATTTTCTTTGGATCTTGGTTCAGGAAATCTAATTGTATGATGACACTTATGGGACAATCGGGGAAATTTGGACTGTGACTGGACATTAGAAGACAGGAATTCATTGTTTTTCCATCTGATAATGGCACTGGGGTTACACCAAAAATAAATGAGTCCTCATGTGCTAGACATTCTGAAGTGTTTGGAAACTAAATGATAAGATGCCCATTAGAATAGTCTGGCATGAGGGAGGGAAATAGAGACAGCAGAGATAAGATCAGGTGTGCTGAGAAGCAGAGGAGCATGGTGAAGTTGTTGTGCCCAAGATTACGTATCCGAGAAACCACCAAGGAGCCGACACCGATGCAAACGCACGTGGGGTTTTACTTACAAGCTCGAGCTTGGGTCCAAGTATACTCCACACAGCAGTGCAGGGGCTTGGACCCCGAAGTGGGTTACAGCTGGGTTTTTTATGGGCTGGTCTAGGAGATTTTCAGAAGGGGTGGAGGAATTTTTTCTATTCCAATATGGGGGAAAGGGTGGGGGAGTTTCTTAAGAT